GTATGTATGTATTTATACATTCGCACATGTATGTATATACATACATATATATATATATATATATATATATATATATATATATATATATATATATATATATATATATATAATATATATATATATATATATATATATACATATATATATATATATATATATATATATATATATATATATATATATATACATATATATAATATATATATACATACATATATATATATATATATATATATATATATATATATATATATATATATATATATATATATATATATATATGTATATATGTGTGTGTATATATATATATATATATATATATATATATATATATATATATATATATATATATATATATATATATATATAAACATATTCATATATTCTTTTTTGTTTGTATGTATGACAGTGTATACATATATACATATATATTTATATGCACATCTATATCAGTATAAATGCTTTTATACAAATGATTTCTCATATGAAAAAAAGCGCTTCCTCTTTACAACAGAAAAAATAGTAATTTAGTGAGATTTATTCTTTTTGCTCCAATTTGATAATTTTCATTTTCCCTTTAGTATCTAAGATTTTTTATCAGGCCTGATTTTCCACAGATCTGACATTATTACAGGCCTTCAATAACATGTGTTGAGAAAATTCATTGCCCCCATAAAAATTCATGAAAAATATTAAAAAGGGATTTTATCTTATGGTCACCGGCTGTACAAAATATTTACTATATATATATATATATATATATATATATATATATATATATATATATATATATATATATATATATATATATATATATGCATCTATCTATGTATATTACAATGGTAGGTGGAGGGGGCCTTCAAGGACGGTCAAAGGAGCAGCCATCACATCTGTAGCGGATTGTGATCCCAACAACGATTTTAGAGAGAGCAGCAAACAGTATGGTGACAAACATGAGACTGAAGAGTGTGGGAGCCATGACGCATCCTTGCTTGACTCCGTTTGGAACTGGGAAGAGGTCTGACACAGAGCCGTTCTCCACAATGTGCGTCATCATCCCGCTGTGGAAGGACTTGACGATTCTGACAATCTTTGGTGATACCCTCTGGAGGTATCCCGTCAGGACCCGGGGCTTAACCTACGTAGAGTTTCCTGAAAGCTTTCTTGGTTTCCTCAGAGGTCGGAGCGTCGTCAAGGGACTCAATGACTGGGCACTGAGGAATATCCTGGATGGCCTGTTGGTCGATCTGTGAGGGTCTGTTGAGCAACTGACTGAGGTGTTTGCTCCAGCATTGTGCAATGTCATACATCTCTGTAAGCTCATTTCAAAAGCTGGCATATGCTTTTTCTGTATCAGCTTCTGTTGGCAAGCTGTCAATCTGTTCACTGAGATTGTACCAGGATCAGCAAGTTTTTGGACGTCAAGCTTTGTGAGCTTTCTGATGCCTGTGCACCCTGGCAATAGAAAAGGAGAGTTTGGTTCTCAGCAGGTGGTCAGTCCAACAGTCTGCTCCTCTCATGGCTTTTGTGATGAGTACGTCTTGGATGTCTCGGTGCCTGGTGATCACATAGTTGATCAGGTGCCAGTGCTTTGAGCGCGGGTGCATCGAGGTGGCCTTGTGGATATGTAGCCGGTACAAGGTATTGGTGATGGTCAGACCATGCTCGGCGCAGCATGTATGAAGCAACTAGCTATTAGCATTTTCCTGTCTAATGCCGTGGGACCCGATTGCATCTGGCCGAGATTGACAATCCTCACCTACATGGGCATTAAAGTCCCCAAGTAACAAGGGCTTGTTATCCTTGGGTATGGAGCGTAACATGTCCATGAGGTTCTGGTAGCACATGGTAGGGGCGTAAACACTAATCAGCATGAGCTGTTTCTTTCCCTTCAAGAGAATCCTCATCACCATCAGTCAGTCACCGATTCCCTTTAGCAGGGCCTCCAGCTTCTTGACGAGTGAGGTGCATACGACAAAGCCAACTCCTGCTTTGACCAGAAGAAAGTGTAGGCAGCGCCAACCTCAGTGATCTCACTAGTGTCAGCCAAGCGGGTTTCGCTCAAAGCTACGATGTTGATATTGTAATGCAGGAGTTCACATACTACAAGTGATGTTCATCATTCTGGTCTATCACTGTTCTTTCTGTCCATGACACTGCAGGCGCCGGCTTTACAGCAAGGGATGCCACGCAATCAATGAAGGTAACAGAAAACGTCTCCTCGCTAAAGGCAGAGGCAGTTGCAATCATGGGAGCCCTAACCCACGCGTCCCTAAGGGAAGGACATGTGGTAATACATACAGACTCCAGAGCAGTCACTGACTGTCTTCAGCACAGCTCACCCAAAGACAACATCTACTTCCTGACCACAATACTTACCATAGCACAAAGAATTCTTGCTCAGGGTAGAAGAATAATCATTAACTGGGTCCCTAGCCACATTGGCATCAGAGGGAACGAGCTTGCTGACAGACTAGTCGTCACTGGCAAGGGTATGCCCCCAAATCCCACGATCATAAAACCAAGCCGAAAATTACTTGAGAAGTGTACTGCGGTCGCCCGTACCTTCCTCCTGTAGCTTCACAGAGAGGAAACGAGATCCTCCCCCTCGGCCAGCTGGTACTCAGACGGTACAGGCTATGAACCACTGGCACTCTCTGAAATAATCATCAGAGGTACCGAAGTCATTCTTCACAGAATGCGCCTAGGTTTCCACTGTACATGGCAGATTATAGAGACAATAGACCGTGAAGAGAGGTGTTGCATGCACTGCGACGACCTGAACGCCACATTTATACATTACTTGGAAAATTGTGAGCATACACAATTCCTGAGACAGGGACCGCCTACAACAGCCGCCGTGCTGATAAAGAGGTTATGAGATACGCTTACACCATGGCGGCAGGAGCGCCTGCTGGCAATCCCACCGCCACGGTAAACATCAAGTGTCAGAAGACAAAATGAGACAGCTATAAAAAGCAGACACAGGCCGGGCCTTAGATACATACATATATATATATATATATATATATATATATATATATATATATATATATATATATATATATATATATATATATATATATATATATATATATACATATATATATATATATATATATATATATATATATATATATATATATATATATATATATATATACATATATATATATATATATATATATATATATATATATATATATATATATATATATATATATATATATATGTATGTATATATATATATACATATGTATATAGATATATATATATATATATATATATATATATATATATATATATATATATATATATATATATATATATATATATATATTTATATTTATATATATACATATATATACATATATATATATATATATATATATATATATATATATATATATATATATATATATATATATACATATATATATGTATATATATATGTATATATACATATGTATAAATATATGTATATATATATATATATATATATTTATGTATATATATATATATATTTATATATATATATATATATATATATATATATATATATATATATATATATATATATATATATAGGGTAAGGACAGTTAAAATTAAAATAATCACAATAATGATAGTAATGGTGGTAATAATAATAATAATAACAATAATGATGATAATAATAATAAAGATAACGACAATAATAATAATTATAATAATATTAATGATAATAATATAATGATGATAAAAATAATGACAAAAATAATAATGGTAATAATGATCATATTAATAGAAATAATAATAATAATTATGATGATGATAGTAATAATTATAATGATAATAATAATAATAATAATAATAATAATAATAATAATAATAATAATAATAATGATAATAGTTACAATAATGATAATGATAATAATAATAATAATAATAATAATAATAATAATAATAATAATAATAAAAATAATAATAATGATGTTAATGATGATGAGAGATGAGAAAGATAAGAGTAAGAAGAAATTGAGAGAGGATAAGGAGGTAGAAAAAAGGAGAAGAATAAGAAAAAGAAAAGCAAATAAGCAAAAACAACGGAACAGAAATCCCGATATTGGAATTTCTAATCTTGGAGACACTGTGTGAAATCGATGTTGGAAAATCAGAATCCTGAAAGAGAGCGGGAGAAAGAGAGACAGAAATAGAGATAGAAAGAAGGAGAGATAGATAGATAGATAGATAGGGGGGGGGTAAAAAGGAAAGAGTAAAAGAGTGATAAACGGAGAGAGAAAATACATGGTCGCACATGACCCGAAAATGATTTTTTTCCCGTAATGATATCTTCTAAGCGTCATTTGCCAATCCATTTCATGCACTTTTAACATAATGAATGTCGATGCTTCATTATCAATGGCAAAAATAGAGGACAGACAGAGAGACAGATAGATATGGATAGATAGGTAAATAGATAAATAGATGGATAGATGGATATATATAGAGAGATTGAGAGAGAGAGAAAGATAGATAGATAGATAGAGAGTGAAAAATGGAACGTTTAATGTGAATAAAGATGGGCTTAACAGATGCATAAAATTGCAAAAAGAAAACAAAAGAAAAAAAGCGAAAAAAAAATATAACTCATTTTTTGTCTCGAGAAGAAAACGTCTGTTTCCTTTATATACATGTATGTATATATATATACATAAATATATATATATATATATATATATATATATATATATATATATATATATATATATATATATATATATATATATATATATATATATATACTATATATATATATATATATATATATATATATATATATATATACACACATACACACATAAACATATATATACACAATACTTGCACGTGTATATCTATCAACGCACACAATCTATATATATCTTCCTAAACCCACACCAAGTCCCTTACCCTCCCTCGCCATCCCTCCCTCTCCCTCGGCACAAGTCCGCCCAGCCTCTGTCTGCCCGAACCCTCCTTACCTTGAGCACCTCCCGCCACGTTATGGGGATCCAGGTGTCCTTTCTGTACGGGTAGTCGAACTCGGAGAAGTCGATGAGGCGGCCGTCTGACTGGCAGGGTCCTCCAGCGCCGAAGGTCTCGTTCATGACATCTGACGGAGGAGGAGGGAGAGAGAGGGAGAGAAGCTGTGAGTAAATCTGTGAGGTAAGGGGATATTGGGTTAATTAATTAATTAGGGGGCAGGGGGCTGGGGTTAAAAGTCACTGTACACTATAAAGGAGGTTTATAGTGAGATATGTATTTTGGCTATAATGTGGGTTTCTGCCATATGTCAACACGGTAGAGTGGTTTGGCATTCATCGGTGAATGAGTTTTTTATTGCCATGTTTTTGATGACGAGGGAGATGGGATCGTGAGTAATATGTTGCGGGAATGGAAATTTGTGGTCAAGTTTGATCATAATATCATCCTCAATAACGTGAATACTTGTTTGTATATTTGTCAAACACAAATATACAAACGTAAGCAAACACACACTCAAATGCAATTATGCGTCTCTGCACACACACACACACACACACACACACACACGTGCATATATATATATATATATATATATATATATATATATATATATATATATATATATATATATATATGTGTGTGTGTGTGTGTGTGTGTGTGTGTGTGTGTGTGTATGTGTGTTTGTGTGTGTGTGTGTGTGTGTGTGTGTATGTATATGTATATGTATATGTGTATATATATATATATATATATATATATATATATATATATATATATATATATATATATATATATATATATATATATACACACACACATTTACACACACACACACACACGCTAGCGCACAATTACTCGCACATAAACAAAACTTTGTTTACAAATTCCAAATAAAAACAAGGCCCCCTCTAAGAAAATGAAAATCGCCTCGTAAAGGTTCACTCTAAAGAAAAACTTTTTCCATTCACTTCCCTCCTCGTCCCTTTAATCCCTCCCCTCCCCCCTCGTCCCTTTAATTCCCTTCCCCTCCCCCTTATATTTACATCCCCCTCCCCCCATCCCTTTAATTTTCTCCTCCCCCCCCTCGACCTCTTTGAGGAGTGACAGGAAGCATCGGGCGATGGAGTGACGGATTGAAAATTGAATTGATCACGAAGTATCGGGCAATCAAGCTGGATCTCGTCGGGAGGACCACCAAGGGCTCACTCCTCTTCTTCTCCTCCTCCTCTTTCTCTTCCTTTCACCCTTCTCCCTTCTCCTCTTTCTCTTCCTTTCTCCATTCTCCCTTCTCCTCATCCGCCTCCTTGGTCTCTACCCTGCTCATTTTTTTTTAAATTCTGTCCTCCATAACTTTCCTTATTTGCCTTATTATCTCCCTCAGCCATCCTCTTTTTCTCTTCCCTCTGACCTCTTCCCATTCCTCTCTCCTCTATTGCTGTTTTCCTTTCTTCTTCCTCCCCTTTATCTTTTGCTTATCTGACCTCTTCCCATTCCTCTCTCCTCTATTGCTGTTTTCCTTTCTTCTTCCTCCCCTTTATCTTTTGCTTATCCTTCCCTCCTTTACCCTTTTTCTCTTTACCTCTCCTTCCGTTTTCGCCTCTTCCCCTTTCTTCTCCTTCCTTTTCTCTCTTCCTCTCCCCTCCCCTTCTCCTCTTCCCCTTTTTCCTTTCTCCTCGATTTTCCCCTTCCCCATTCCCCCTCTTCCTCTTCTCCCCTTTCCCCTTCCACTTTTCCCTCACTCCTTTCCACTTACCCCTTCCCCTCTCCCCACCCTTCTTCCTTTCCCTCCTTTCCCCTTTTCCTTCACTCCTTTCCACTTACCTGCCCCCCCTCCTCTTTCTCCCGACCCCTTTCTCTTCCTCCTTTTCCCTTTACCCTTTAACTCCCCATATATCATCTATGACACCTTGTTAGCCACTCAGACTGGCAATGGTATCCAGGACGTCAACATGACACTTCTTGTTTTTACTCGTATTCTTTTGAGATATGGATGCTTTATTTTCTTGTCTCTGTTTTTTTATTGATTTATCTTTTCAATTATCAATATTTCTTTTTATTTATTTATTTTTATTTTTATTTTTTACTTCTATTTCTTCAGTTATCTTTTTGTCATCTGAAGCTTTTTCAATTTTCATTTTTTTTTCTGGTGTGTTCCTCTGCCCCACACCCCATTTTTATATTCTTGTCTGTTTGTCTGTCAAAACAATTGCAATATATGTCACAGACTGGGAGACACACATACCTATATATATATGTGTATGCGTCTCTCTCTCTCTCTCTCTCTCTCTCTTAATCTCTCTCTCTCTCTCTCTCTCTCTCTCTCTCTCTCTCTCTCTCTCTCTCTCTCTCTCTCTCTCTCTCTCTCTCTCTCTCTATATATATATATATATATATATATATATATATATATATATATATATATATATATATATACATATATATATATATATATATATATATATATATATATATATATATATATATATATATATATATATATCCCACTCTCTTTCTCTTTCTTTCGCTCTCTGTGTGTGAGTGTGTGTGTGAGAGTGTATGTGTGTGTGTATGTGTGTGTGTGTGTGTGTGTGTGTGTGTGTGTGTGTGTGTGTGTGTGTCTATCTATATATCAGTATATCTGTATATTTGTATGTATGTATGTATGTATGTATGTATGTATTTATGTATCCATGTATGTATGTGTATATGTATGTATATATGTATGTATAGAATTAACGCAAAAAAAATGTTTAACAAAGCTTTTACATTTCAGATTTCATATGGGAATTATCATCACAATAATACACAATATTTTAACACCAAACTAGAAATTTATGTCCGTTATAAATTAATAATTCTACTTGCTGTTGTACTTGATCACAGAAAAGCAGTACTTGACTTTTACGATACATTACGTTTACAAAAGTTATATATTACACTCAACGAAAAAAAAAATACATATATATATATATATATATATATATATATATATATATATATATATATATATATATATATATATATATATATATATATATATATATATATAGCAACACATGCGTCACTTACACAAATATCCTTTTTTGGACACTTAAAGGTAAGAGTATACCTAGGCCTATGCACACCTTATCCCCACAGCAAGCGAGAATAAAGCCAAAAATATCACCCAAGAATTTCTTCTCCTGCCTTACACAGTCCAGGCGTATAACCTCTCTGTCACGTTCATTCTTCCACATAAAAAAGGAAGAGAAAAAAATTCCAAGGATATCACACGAAGCACGAACCTTGGTCAGTGTTGCCTGGAATTAGTTCATGTATTTTATGTCTTGCTGAATGGAAGGCAGGGAAGGACACCGGACATGTTTGCGTCATGTTTGGACGAGTCTCGCATGCCTGTTTTTTTTATTGGATGTGAAAGAATTATTAACAAAAAAAAAAAAAGAAGAAAAAAGTAAAATTAAGAAAAAAAGTGAAATATTTAGTCCGCATATTAATTCGGAATATGATATTCATTAGGTTTGGAAGCTATACTTATTCACATGAATGTTAAGTTCAAAATAAAGATGCTTAACACTCAAAGTGCATTTTTTAAGAGATTATTTCCATGTTATATTCCAGAAAAAAACAATAATTGCAACGGGATTATCTTCATAAACAGCGTATTCTAAGGACGTGGGAACTCCCAAAGCTACTTCGCCTCCTCCGACATAATGAACTTTTATAAAGAGCCTCCTGAAAGGAACCAGACCTTCTATGCCGTTTTCTCGTCATACTGGCAGTGACTGATGTCTGTGCTTAAGCAAGATATATTATCGCTGTATGCACTGTTGGTACAGCCTTTGATCTGCCACTTCGTCTAGATTTCTTCTGGTATATATACATATATATATATATATATATATATATATATATATATATATATATATATATATATATATATATATATATATATATATATATATATATATATATATATATATATATATATATATATATATATATATATATATATATATATATATATATATATATATATATATATATATATATATATATATATATATATATATATATATATATATATATATATATATATATATATATATATATATATATATATATATATATATATATATATATATATATATATATATATATATATATATATATATATATATATATATATATATAGAGAGAGAGAGAGAGAGAGAGAGAGAGAGAGAGAGAGAGAGAGAGAGAGAGAGAGAGAGAGAGAGAGAGAAAGAGAGAGAGAGAAAGAGACAGAGAGAGAGACAGAGAGAGAGAGAGAGAGAGAGAGAGAGAGAGAGAGAGAGAGAGAGAGAGAGAGAGAGAGCGAGAGAGAGAGAGAGAGAGAGAGAGAGAGAGAGAGAGAGAGAGAGAGAGAAAGAGAGAGAGAGAGAGGGAGGGAGGGAGAGAAAGAGAGAGAGATCTTGGGATATTGATATTCAAACTGTAAATATAACTCTAAACTCAACAATAAAACGAAAAACGAAAAATCACACAGAGACTTCCAGAGATTCCGGACACAGAAAAGACAATGTTATTTCCAGGCTGAGAAAACATTCCCCTTTCGTGTAAAATATCAACGTAATGAAAATGATGATAATAAAAAGCTATTAGGTTTTAATTACAAAGGGCAAACTCCCTTCTCTAAAGTAAAGTGACTGCAAATCGTGTGGAAATTTATAATGATCCTCCCAGGTAACATCCTGATAAGGGTTTCTCTACCCTATATATATATATGGCAGTTTGAAGCCATTTATATATTCTATTTGACTGACAAATATGAAATCCATATAGGTGTATGTATTTTGTTCATATTTCAAGCAACATTTTTTATAGTTGATGATTGTTCTTGTTAAACAAATACCCGCTCTTTCGTGGAAAATAGCAAAATTACTGACACTTGTGCCTTGCAACTTCAGAGCAAGTACTGCAGATCTGGATTAAACCTTAATTAATACGGTACCAACTTTTGTAACGTGTACAGAAGGCGCCGTGTACGAAGGAGCAAGAGAGAAGGATCACCGGTGGATTACGTGGCAGCAAAAGTTATATACTTTTCCCTTTGCACTCCCATTGGATTATCACAGTAAATGAAATGTA